GCCGCTGAGGACGGACAGTCTGTGGCTGCCATCAGCAGTCGGGGTCGGCAACGGGCAAAGAGCGTTTTCCCTCCTCCTCGGACCAAGGTATTGCCTTGGCCGAGGCTTTTTGCGGGGGTTTTGTCCTTTATTTCTATTTTTATTTTTATTCTGGTCGCCGATCCCTTTCTAAAAGTAACTCCGATAGCGCAGGGGGCTCCAGGCCGAACTGCCCGCCCTGATGGTGAAACAGGCTCGGGCTACTCGGGACCAGCCCGCTCCCCTTTTCCCCCTGCCCGTTTTTCCCGTCGGTCCAACTGGTCCCCTCCAACCCGCCGGCAGATTTTGCTGCTGTTAATCCTTCAGGCTCCCCCAGCGCTCTCACCTTTCCCTCCGCTCTCCACGAGGGTTTGTTTATTTATTTTCCCGGGGGAAAACGCTCAGCCACGGACACGGGGGAAATGCCCAGAGCCGTGTGCGCAGCCCGGTGCCACTTTCAAGTGATGGGGGTGATTATTTCTCAAATAGTCGATTTCCTCTCCTTCCCCCCTTCCCGGCCAGGCAGCTGCATCTTGTCCCCCTTCCAAAGGCGCCCTTGGCTGGCAGCTTGGAGGCGGTCAGCGCGGGGAGCCCCCCCGGGGCAGCCCGGCTACCAGCTGTCGGGCAGCGGGGCGGGCAGGACCCGGCGGGCTCGGGGCAACCGAACAAAAGAGCTTCGGAGCGGGATAAATCCAGAGGCAAAAGCAGCACCGGCCCCGGTGCCCGCCAGCCTGGGGAATCCCCGACGTCGGGGGCTGCTCGTCCCTCCCCGGCCTGACTGGGTGAAGGTCCCTGCGGCTGCTCGGCCTCCATCCCAGCACAGGGAGGCTGCACCAGTGCCAGAGACTGGGGACAACACTGGAGGGGCCCGATCTGCTGGGAGCCGGGGTTGGTTTTGCAGCGTCCCGCTGCCCAGGCACCGCATCCGGGGGGACCAGAGTGACAGATGGGCAGGAGCTGGTCCTGGGTGAGAAATGGGGCAGGGATCGCAGTGGAGCATCCCAGCTCTCTACTGAGGCTGCGTTGGCTGCTGGGCTCTGGCAGCCTCCCCATCTACCCAGCAGACTTCATTTGGAGGGAGATTTACACTGAGATCAGGACTAGGATTTGGATTATGTCTGGAACCAGAATTGCGACTAGAACTGCATTTGGAATCAGGATTTGGACTGCGACCAGCACTTGGTTTGAGATGCTTATGGGAAGGGCAGAATATCCTTACAGGACGTATTCTCTTGCTTTATTTCTGTTTACAAATAAATGCAAGGAAATTCCTCAGCTCAGACCCACACTGATCTTCCCAAGACCCCACTGCCAGCAGACACCTTGGTCCTGGGAGTGTCCTCTGCTGCGGATAACATACATGTGTGTGAGGGGGATCCTGCTGATTCAGAGCTGTTCCTGAGCTTTGAGATGGGCCCCTAGGGCTGCTCCCTGCCCACAGCCTCAGTGCTGCAGAGAGAAACCCTGTGTGAGGCTTTGGGGTGCAGAGGGGGGCTCTGATCCTCATTGCTAAGCAGGCACTGTATTGTGGCACCCCCAGCCCTTGGGGACAGAGACTGCCCCTCCTAGGCCATAGCTGGAGCTCTCAGCAGCTACAGGTGCACTTGTTACTAGCGCACTTGACATTAATTAACATGAAATATTAATATTATTATTAAGTTGTTTCAGATCTAGATTGCCAGCGGCAGAAACCTGCCCCGTTTGCCCAGACGAGGCGTCCCGCGCACATCAGAGCAAAGCTCGTTAGCTCGAGGTCTGACTCTGGCAAAGCTGCTCCCCTGCAGGCACAAGCTTCAGCCGAGACAAACGTGGGGACACGTCAGAGCCCAGAGGAGGTGACGGGCACGGGCAGTGCAGGAGAGCTCCGGGGCTCCTGGACGTTCCAGCTGGACTGATGGCGGGGTGGAAATCCCAAACTGGGATTCCTGGGCAGGCTGCTGCATGTCCTGTTGGACAAGTGGGTGCAGAATAACTTGTTGTGGCTCTCGGCATCAGCGGAGCGGAGGGAGGCACCCTGTCCCATACCCCCATGCTGGAACTGCCTGGGCACAATGAGGCTTGTTGGCTATTGCAGCACCGTTGATGCCAAGCGAGACTCAGAGGGTTTTACCAGGAGCACCGGGCAGGGTCCCAGTTATGCTGAGCTCCACTAGCATCTTCAGGATTGGCTCTTTCAGCTCTCAGCAGCTGGTCATTTTGCATACAAACCCGTTTCTTGCACTGCTTCCGTGTTGCCACATTGCAGGAAGAGATCCCTGGCTGTGTCCGCATTCCCAGCCATCTCCCCATAAGCCTGTGTCGCATCCCAGGGCTGGCTCTAGGACTCGGGTGCCTTTTGGAGCTGTGAGACACGTCCCACTGCACTGCCAGGTGCTGTCGGCTCCTCTCGAGGGGAGCACTGGCCCCCGTGGCCACGTGGTGGGTTTGTCCCCATGGCCATTGCACCAAGACTGGTCCTGGTATTCCCAGGGCTGGAGGAAGAGAGGAGACCCCGACCGGGGCAGGAGCCGGGGGAAGGTGCCCACCTTGCGGTGGGTGCTACGGGGCGGCTGCAGCAAGAGCCACACTGAAATGCTCACTGGTGTCATGCACCGGTGTCCCGCTCGCTGGGCGTCCAGCCTTGGAAATCCCCAGAGGCTCCGCTGGGCTCGGTCCGGACCTGAAGCGACTGCTGTGCAGGGCCGTGTCCTGGTGGAAGGGGATGCTCTGCCCTGCCGGGAGCAGGCGGGTTGCTCAGGGAGCTGAATGAAGGTCTCGGTGAGCGAGAGAAGAGCCCGGGGCAGGAGGGAGGGTAGAAAGGGGAGGGAAAGCCCAGCTGGGGGTGCAGCGAGGGGACCGGGGACAAGCACAGGGCCCCGTGATGGGCAACCTGCGGCAGCGTGAAAATCCCGTTTACCAGTGGGTGTCACTGCAGGACAAGGAGCGTCCGGCGCTGGAGGGTGGCAGGGCTGTGGGGGACAGGGGACAGCGGCTGCCGGCTGGCCCTGCGCGGTGGCAGGGGCCAGGGACACTCAGTCCTGCTCCCGGGGCCACGGGGATGCTCCTGCTCCTGCCTCCCCAGCAGCTCAGCACGGCCCGGTGCTGGCACAGCCGCGGCAGGAGGGCAATGTCTGCATTTGGGCTCGTTTCCCACCTTGGTGGCTTTGGCTGCGGGCTCAGAGCCGTGGGGAGCAGAGACCGTGCTGGGAAAGGGGTGGCAGGAGCCTGAGGTGGCACCGGGGACCTGCTGGGGAATGAGGCCTCAGGACCCGCTCCCACTGTCACCCCAAGGCAAGTGGGGGGCCCTGAGCTGGGCAGGGAGTAGGTGCTGGTATGTGGTGTGGGCAACCAAGAGCTGCTCGATTTGGGCCATTCGGAGCTTGGCTGTGCCCAGGATTTCCCAGTCCCGATGGGCTGATCTGACCGCTACAAACCCCACGGACCGGGGCCTCCTCCTGAGCACGTGTTGCCTGACCAGCACGTGTTGCTTTCCAGCTTTCTGGAGGTTGTTCTCCAGCTTTTTGCTGTCACCTCGGAGCATGATGGGCATGTCATTAATCCCCCTGCCCATGGAGGCCAGGGTTTGCAGGGTGCCAAGTGTCCACCCGTCTCCTGGGTTCAGGTAAACAGGAGGGATTGACCACAGTAACGTAACTCCCCATCAGTGCTTGACACTGAATCAGTGCCTCTGAATGAGCACAGTTCAGAGCTGGGTTTTTGTTGGCCCTTTTCTAATGCTGCAGGACCCTCTTGGAAATGTCTCTCTATTCCCACGCATCCCTGAGACACAAGAAGTTGCTGCAGGCAGGGACGGATGTTGTCACAGAATGGGAAACCTCTTGCCTGGGTTTCTCACACTGCAGCTTGGCTACAGGAGGTTTACAAATCACGTCATTTTTGGAAAGACAAGATGTTTAAGGCCCAGCTTTCTCCCTCCCCAGGGAAGTGGGAAAGGTCTCCTGTTATATTCCACCTCTAGCAGCCTGGCAAACCCTACTGTTACCCTCCTAGTTATTTTAGATTGGCTTTATTTAGAGACCTGTACTAAAAGACAGAACCCCATAACAGGACTTCTCCTCTGTGGAGCAGCTGGTCTCCAGCCTCTCCATCCTCAGGTGGAGGCAGGTTTGGGCAGGGTGGGATTTGCTGCAGCTGCTGCCCCATATAAAGGGGAGGGTAACCCACAAGCTCCCCCTAAGGAGAAGCTGCTGGAAGTGTCAGGGTGGTTGGTGCTGCTGATCCAGCTGAAGGTAAGAAAAGCTACTTTTGTAGCTTGATTTCTTCTTGCATCTGAAGCAAAAGTTTTATGGGGGGCTGGGCTCTGGTCTTTGAGGTTCAGGTCTAAGAGCTGGTTTGGAGATAATGTGAGACCAAGCAGTGATGTTTTTAGAGTATCTTTGCCCCTTGGTTGCTTGTGGGCATGTGCAGGAGGAAGGCGGAGGGCAGGGGCAGCCCAGGGCAGGGGCTCTTACCCCTTGCAGCAGGGCCCTGCAATGCCCAGCTCATCCTGGGGTGGTCACATCTGAGCTCCTGGGGAAGGAAGGGCTGGTGAGTGTGAACACTCAGAAGTAGCATTAGACTAAGATGTATCTGGCACAGTCTGAGATATGACAATAGAAGTGATATTTGGGCTACACAGGAGCCATTCATTATTCAGTTAGCAGTTTCTGTGATATGCAATTAAAGTAACTGCAATCACTAGTGAGTGGTATTTTCTTAAGGTGGAGCATCAGGGAGGAGGCTGTTTTGAAGGGTTCAGTGCAGCCAGACCTGGCTGGGGGCTGGCATGGGACTGGTGTTTGGGGTCTATAGGGTTGAGCTGGTTTGGGGGCAGCTTACGAGCTTGTCCAGCCCCTGGTTTGATGTGCTCAGCCCTGCATCATGCTGGGCTCCAGCAGCTCCTCAAGTCTCAGGGCAGAATTGTCCGGGGGTGTTTTCAAGCAAGTGCAATTAATTTGTGGTAAGGCCTCAGTTTGGCAGTTTAAAGTAGGTGCTTGGGTGCCTTCACATAGGCAAATAGGCCTTGACGAACCAGGCAGTGATAGGAAGCTTGCTTGGTAATCAAATTAGAAGTATTCATGGAGTATGAGATTGTAGATGTGGTATCAATAGCGATATCATTGCATTTTATATATTTGTTCAGAATAACCAGTGAAGGAGACTGTCCTGTTTTCCCTGTGGGGAATCACCACAATGCCTGAGCATTGATATCTTGAATGTGATGAGATTTGAGGTGCTCAGAGGGGATGAAGTGCAGCTCTGCACCTGACACAAAGCAGTGAACAGTCTGAGCCAGAACTCTTTTCTTTCACATTTGTGATTTATTTGGCTACATAAATATCAGAATAACTTTCCTAAATCTGAGGAAAAATACTGTCATCCATGGCTATTAGTGGTGTCTAGAGACTGTGTTGCACAACGGGCTGCTGTGGGTGAGTCTTCAGCTTGTGGTGTAGATGCCCTGGTGAAGGGGACCGCGTCGCAGGGGCATTTCTGAGCGGTAGGTGCTAAACGCCTTCTTGCGAGCCTCACTGTCTCGAAAAGTGCTGAGGTGAGGACCAACCTGTAATGAAAGGAGTGGATGTGCTTGGTTAGTGAGGCGCAGGCCAAAGAAAATAGCACAAACGGGGAGCAGTTGGTGATTTAGCGCAATTTCTGTCTGTTTTGGAAACATTCCTGCAGCTGGTACAGTTAAACTCATCTAACACTTAAAATGAGGAGCTGATTTTCCTGGTTGACTTCAGGGTATAATCCTACTCTGTCCCAGGAACAAAATCCTGGAGTCCCACTCAGATTTGTTGATTATCTGACATTTTCAAATGCTGACATGCCTTAAAATAGGCCTTGAAATATTTGTTTTCTGCAGCAGAGAGTGTGTGTATGTGTCTGAGTTAGCCAAGCAGGGCTCTGCGAGCTGATGGGCAAGTCATGGAAAGTGTCCCCAGCCCCAAAAGGGGCTTCCCCAACAAATACATGAGCAGTCTCTATCCTGGGAGGTGTGTATGAGCTGGGGAAGGGATATTTTTTTTTTCCTGGGGAAGTCCCCTTGTGGAATGAGGTTCCAGGAGCTCTGGGCTTGTGTGGAGTATGTGAGTGTGTCTGCATGTCTGGAGCAGGTTACTGGGAAAGGGGAGGGAACAGGATTTTCCTGCTTCTGTTCAATCCCTTGTGCTCCACATCTGCTTTGTGTGGATGTGCTGTGTTCTCTCCTTCCCCCACCCCTGCTCAAGCAGGATGGATGTCAGCCTGGCTTTGCATATGTAAAAATGCACAGCAGTCTTTGCCCTGAAAAGCTTGCTAGTGATCTCATTAATCAAGACAAACAAAGCGTATTTAGCTATTCCCCCTCTCTGGAGGAAGGCATTCAGGTGCTTAAATATACATTTGAGTGCCTAACTCCAGACAGCTGTTTTCAGCTGCTTTTGCTTTCTCACAAGCAGCAGCAGTGACATAACCCCTGTTGGAGAGGGAAATGCAGAAGCAAAGGCTGCCTAAAGAGAGGGGCAGTTTCTGGAGGAGGCAGCAGGGAGAATCCCCCAGCAGGGCTGACTCTGACCTGCCATTAAAGATGCAGGAGTTTTCCCCTTTGACTTGTGTGGAGGCAGAGCTGGGCTTGCTAGAAAAATCCACCCCCTGAACCTCAGAACAGCTGTGTCTCTATTACACTGCCCACTGTGCTCCATGCCCAGTGGTGTCAGGAGCTGGGCAGGATGAAATTCCTGCATTGGATTGGGATGAAGCCATGGGGGAAGAACCCAGCAGTTGATTCATTCTAGGCTTGGTTCAAAGCTCCCGGGTGAGAAATGACACCCTGATCTGCACTGAGGGACATTTGGCTGCAATGAAAATTAGCTGAGCCCTTGACAAAGCTGAGTGATGCCACAGCTGTGAGTGAGTGGGGAGCACCAGGTGTAGGACAGGGGACAAGTGCTGTTTTAAAAAAATGAGGTGCCCCCCATAATGAGGGACACTTGAAAAGTATGGATTAGTCCCAGGCTGGTAATTAGAGTCAAGATAAGGGTGTCCTTGGGTCAAAGGTCTTAATATGACAGAGATTGGTGTGAGAAGTCAAAGCCAGAGTGATGGATCCTCATCTCTGATTCTTCTAATTCATATTCTAAATGATGAACCCAAAGGTACTTTCTCTAGAGACAGCTGATGATCTTTATCATTACTCTGATCTGGTTTTGAACTGTTATGGCAGGATTTTGTCTGAATCCAATCTGGAGTGTTGGAGCTGTAGCCTTCAAGGACAGAAATACACTTTCTGGAGAAAATACTGTTGTTTTCCTTGCAGTGTGAGGCAGCTGTAGCTGCTTTCATTTGTTAATTGCAGGTAATGTTTTGCTGTTGTTCATTGTCTCTTTTATTCCCAAGTTAAAATGTCAGACATTCCTGCAGTTGAGATCTTGTTTATCAGTCTTTGCCTCAAACTATTTGAAGGACAATAACAATCTTCCCACTTCTAAAACTAAACTAAATACTTGCAGGCTGTTTTCATTTGGGTTACTCTCTTAGGATTATGCTTAAGATAGGAAGAATGGAAAGGATCCCTGGCAAAGCATTAATAAAATCACATACTTGCTGCAAGCAGAGGTAGGTGTGTTAATGGAGGACTAATAAATTGTGTGAGATGCAAAGAGGAAAAGCTGGTGTAGAAAAGGCAGATCCCAGCTGGTACAGCCTGGCAAGTGTGGGCAGCATGGTATATGTAGCTGTGATGGGTGCCCTGTAGGTGCTATTGCTCTTAGACTTGTTGATGTTGAAGCTGTGTGTTCAACACTTGCTCTGTACTCTGAGCACCCTTGGGTGGTGGGTAGGGTTGGCTTCTTCCAAGGTGAATGAGCATCTTTGGGAAGGGCGCAAGTTTTATGGCTTGTGGGAGGTGCTGGGAATGAGTCCATTAAAAGGATGCAGACAAGTACTAAGCAGTGGCAGGCCTTCCTCCTGCTGGGGCTTGTTGATGTTGAAGCTGTGTGTCCAACACTTGCTCTGTACTCAGAGCACCCTTGGGTGGTGGGCAGGGTTGGTTTCTTCCAAGGTGAATGAGCATCTTTGGGAAGGGCGCAAGTTTTATGGCTTGTGGGAGGTGCTGGGAATGAGTCCATTAAAAGGATGCAGACAAGTACTAAGCAGTGACAGGCCTTCCTCCTGCTGGGGAAGACCTGCATGAAGATGCTGCTGCTTTGGCTGCTCTGCTCCAAGTGCCTGCCCAGGTTGTTTCTCTCCTTGTGTGATTTTTCACTTTAACAACAAGCTCTCTTGAGCCTCAGCCTTGTTTTTTCCATCATCCGTTTGGCTGAATCCCTTCAGTTGGTGACAAAACACCTTCTTGAGCTCTCTTTATGGGAAACCAATCTCTGTTCTTTATTTGAAACCTCCCTCATTTGCAGAAGTCTTACAAATCCAGGGCCTTAACTCCTCTTCTATTTTTCCCCTCTGAAATGGCACAAAACACTGTCATGCTTGCAGATTTTGGGGGCAGAGGGGGTGAAATACATATGGGAGATGGGCACCCACACGTATGCTTGCCTACCTGCACCGTGCATCCCCACACAGACAAGACCACGCGCACACACACGCACATCGGGATGCAAATTATTTCCGCGAAGCTATCGCTTGACAGAAAATAATGAGAAACACTAAATCTTTTATAAGGTCAACACTCAAGCAGCTGTCAAACAAGAAAAGAATTTAGCGAAAGAGCCGCAAAAACTTCCATCGCCTCATTAAATCCAACAGGGCCGGGGCCTGGCGTGGTGAGGAGGCACCAGGGCGCCTCCGTTTTGTGTCAGTAATTTGCGGCGGAGGAAGAGGGAAGACGAAACAGCCAGCGCCGAAGGGGCCTAGGGGGAGGCTGGGGAATCGTTAGTGCGCCAGGAGCGGCCTCGGCTCCTAATTGGAAGCATTGGGCATTATCAACGGAGGATTTGCCTCGGCTCCCTGACAGCTATCTAGGCCTGGAATGATAGCCCACTTGTCAGTGTAAAAGACCATTAAAAACAAACCATTTTGATTTAATTGGAGGCGGTGCGCTGGGGGCCCAGGTGAGGCGCTTCATCAGCTGATGTTGGCTGCTGATGCCTTTTTCCCCCTGTATTGATGGCTTTTTTTTTTCCACCCTCCCTCCCCTCCCTTTCAAAAACTGTCTAGGAAGGAGAAAGAGGTACTGAAAGATCCTCTGCGGCTGCATCGAGAGCCGCTTTCAATAGGGTTGTCAACAAATGCCATGACAAGTTGGAGGGAGGCAGGTATTTTTAAAACGTACGTTACTCTGTCCAAGGCGAGCTGTGTGCTGAGGTGTTGGATTAGTTGAGTAACAAACACTGACTTTTCTTGGTGCTTGTGTAGCCTCATCGATGAATGGAGCCTGTTGGCTCTTCCCACCTTTCCCAGCTCCA